TATTATTATTATTATTATTATGTTTGGAACATTATGAGGACCAGGACAGTACTTAACTTGTTATCCCAGTAAACCACGCCAAACACTGATGTTTACAGAACTCCGGGGGTCTCGGGACATGAGGTCAGTTAGCTGTAACTGCTGGCTGTGGGGCTGCAGCCACTTGGTGGGGATATTTAGACCTATTTAACTGGGGAGGGGGGGGCGGCATCTAATTACATGTATAAAAATCTCGATTTTAATCCGTCAGGTAGCTTACTTTTGTTATGTGTACCCAACGTCGCATATTATTTTGTCTAGATATCAATGTCACCCCAGTGCCATTAAAAGCCTCCCAGAGCTCAAGATTTTAATTGTTTTATTGAGTTGAATAGGGCCTCAGTGTGTGAGGCAAAGGATTAAGTGACAAAACACGGTGGCATTTAGCTTATCAGTAACATTTAGAGAACATTCCAAAGGCAAATACGTTACTATGGTAATCAGTTGTCCGGCAAAAACAGCAGACAGCTCGCTTTAAAATGAAGACTGTTTCATAATTGTGTCACGCATGTCCCCTGCACGCATTGGGCACATTTGCAACCCACAACAAAAATGTCATGTAACTGAGGGACAGGGCCTATCAGGACCAAAAAACAACAACGATAAACCGGTATTGGTCTAAAACAACTTAAGAAATTACAAAAGGAACACAATTTGAGCAAAGTGTATCATTCTAGGCATAGATTTTTTTAAAAGGACTAACTACAGAAAACACAATATCCTCTAAAATTAGTCCTTTAACATAAAATTATTATATTTCCAACTCATCAATAGATATACTTTCGGAGTCGATTTCCAAATTCACTTCCAGCCAATTTCTCTTCAAAAGCTTTGTTAAATCTCTCACTCTGTTCTACAGTGAACCTGCCTTTCCAAGATTTTATCAAACCCACTACTGCAATATCCAGATGACCACTTAAAAATCTGTCCGACAATATTTTGCTTTTCTCCTCAGTCCCAGCCTTCATGTTGTCAAAGGACGTTGCTGTGGCTATCTGCTCGGCCAGGGTGTCCGGTTGACCCAGAAAACGACAGAGGTCCCTGATGACGTCAGCAGGCTGTTCCTTCAGCTTCTCGTACTGCGCCACAAACACGGGCACCTCAGGGTTGTCGGACATGAACTTCTCCCAGGCCAGGACGTGCTCGAACCACGAACCCCACAGATACTCGCCGGCCAGCTGGGGAGAGAGACCAGTGTAAAATTAAGCCATGATGTACGAGCGTATATTGCGGTTTGGTCAAAGATATGTTGTAGACTTTGTCCTCTCTCTCTCTCTCTCTCTCTCTCT